AAAAGATCAACAGTTAGAAGAAAATATAAAAGTAAAAAAGGATCAACAATTAGAAGATAATAAAGAATCAAAATCTAATATAATTGGTGAACCTATTAAAATTGACGAAAATGTATTTGATCATACAATACAATCAAATGAACAATTGACAAGTAAAATCAATCAAAGTGATGATGAAAAATCCATAGATAACAGTTGTGAAAATATCATATCAAATGAATCATTTGCAAACACAGTTGGCCAATATGCTGAAATTAATGATCAACCAAGCATTGATGTAATAAAACAAAATTCAAGCATGTTAGATACAACATTATCAAATGTAGATGATCAAAGTATTCTAATAAATAATCAAGTATTGAACAACAAATGCACCTTWATTGAAAATGAAGAACCGTCACATAATTTAGTTAAAGATCAACCAGAACAATTATTTAAACATACTAAACCTATTCAAAATACTTCTGATTTGGAAACCAATCCTACTTGTTCTAATAATGACAACTCAATAATAAATACAATGGCTAGTAGTAGTAAAGCATGCGATCAAATTTTAACAGACAATGTTGATCAATGTCCTCAAACATCTAAACAAGTTATTGGTAATCAAAATAATMATAAATCTAAGAAAAAATCACATAACATTAGCAATATTATTGACACTGGTGTGATTTTGGTCAAAAATGTTGTTGAAGCAAAAGAACAATCAATTAATTCTGGCGATATTGATTTTAATCAACCAGAACATTTTCAAATTGCAGATGAGAAAAACGAAACAAAACCATCTGTTGCAATTGTAGATAACTCAAATGTTCTTAATAATAAACATAGTTTAAATAAAATATTACAAAAATTAGACGATAATAAGGAAATGTCAGAATGTCTCAACTCTGAATCTTCAAATGTTGATTTAGAAGTAGAAAAATGTGGTATACTGAAATCTGAGATTGAAATAAATGTGGAAGAATCAAATTTAAAGAATAACGATATTTCGAAGGACTTGACTGCAATAAAAGATGATAAATTTACAGAAAATGATGATAATATTTCACTCATAAAATCAAGCGTACTTGAAAATCAAAAAGAAATCATTGATGTGATTAATAAAGATACCAAAAGTGATAAAGATTATGAAGTATCAACAATTTCTATCGATCAATGTAAAACAGATGAAATCAAACAGGAAAATTTAAATGTGAATCATGTCAAAATTAAACAAAATAATGCTAAAARAGAAAAGCACAAACTATTTAATGTCAAATATGATACTGATACTGATATTTGTAATAAAGAAAAGTTACATTTGGAAGAATTCAAAAGTGAAATATGTAAAAAAGACAATCCTGTGTATGATTTATCTGTAGAAAAAAGTATATTRAAGGTGGAATCTTCAATGGATTTTGATGAAGATAATACTGTAGGCATTTTAAATAGTGGTAAGATAAAAAATTATACATACTTCATTCAAATTTTTAGTCTTTTATGTTAATTTTGTTTTTTTTTACCTAACCTAACCTAGAACGTTTATCATTTTTCACTATCATATACGAGTGCTCTTATTAAAGTCTAGGCTCATGTCTTCAGCTATTTTTATTGTTTCATGATTAAAGCTATACAATTAATTTGTATTATTTTATTTTCATAATTACCTACAATAAATTTTATGTCTAATATTTCAGTTAAAGATGAGTTTGATGACAGTGTAGATGTAGCTCATACTTTTGAAGATGATAGCAATAAAAGTGAAGAAGAGGAAGTTGCTGAAGATACACCTAAGAAGAAAGGAAGACCAGGACGAAAAAAGGGTAAATATTTGTAGTATAAATGTACTCACATTTTATTATTATATTTAGTTGTTTGCACATGTGTTTTAAATCATAATTGTAATTTTTTGTATTAGGAAAAAGAGGGAGGGCTAAAAAAATTGTTTCAGTCAAACAAGAAAGTAAAACTACGACAGAAGAAAAAGTAAAAAGACCATACAAACCTCGTCAAAAGAAAGGTAATGTTATGTTATTTTTATTTCACATAGAATTAATTTGTTATGTTTATGACAATAATAATATTTTGGAATATTATTAAATTTTACATGTATGTCTTTACAGTTGTCACTATATCAGAAGAAGTGACTGTATTTCCAGAGCCTGTTGGCGATGACAATGTGCGTAGATCAAGGCGTATTGCTGAAATAAAAATAAAAGAACAATTTATTCCTACTACACAATATGATGATATTGATATACCATTAAAAAGTCCTAAGAAAAAAGATAAAGGTGGAAAGAAAGGGTCAACACCCACCAAAAAGGTACATTCATTCATATTAGCAAATGCCAAAATTATTGTTCTAATAATACATTTGTCTCTTAGTTGGAAAATGCTGAAGAATCTGATGATGAAGACGAAGAAGATCCTATTTCTAAAAAGTTTAAGAAAAGGAAGAGAAAAGGTAAATCTGATTCCTTGAAGAAAATCAACATGATTAATCCTTGGAATGTAGATTCAGAATCTAGGTAAGCGCATTTTTTTTTATTAAATTATTGGATTAATATTTTTTGTTAATAAAACTGTTCACAATATTTATAGCTCTTCCGAAAATAATGTAGAATTATTTGAAGACTACGATCATGAAGAAGAGGAAGAAATTCCTAGACCTGGAATTGAGCCTAATATTTCAGATCATGAGTTTTCCCCTGAGTCAGATATAAATGATGAAGATGAAGAGTATTTGCCTGAAAAAAGAGCTCGAACTGCTCATAAAAAAGGTTTCTTATGAATATTATGTATTAATAATTCTAATGCAGACTTGTTTTTTATTTCACAAAAATGTATCATGTTTTTTTCTTTATGTAGATGAAGGTGAACAGTTAAAAGACGACATGTGTCAAAAATGTAACAAAAGCGATCAACCTGAATGGATTTTACTATGTGATACATGTAATCAAGGATGGCATGCGTCTTGTCTCCGCCCCCCACTTATGGTGATCCCTGATGGTGACTGGTACTGTCCACCATGTCGTCATGTATGTACATTTATATTCTACTCACGACAGTTTTTCCAACTTAAAATACTTTTATAGGAAGCTCTGTTGAATGCATTAAAAGACACTTTAAAAAGATATGATGGTGAATCGAAAAAAAGAGAAAATGAAGAGTTGAGACGTAAACGGTTGGCATATGTAGGAATAAGTCTTCAGAATGTTATATCATCAAAAACGGAAGAAGTGAAATCTGAAAAACTGCCAGTAGCACATCAGTCTTCTGAAGATGATGATGATGAATCAGAATCAGAAGAATATGACTCAGAACCGCTGTACACCTTAAGRGCTCGGCGACAAGCTAATGTCAGTTACCGTTTTAATGACTATGATGACATGATCAATGAAGCAATTTTAGTAAGAACTTGTTTATTAATAATGCAATTATTAGGTTTACTTATTATTATTACAATGATTATGCTCTACACTACTTATTAATTTGATTTTTACAGGAAGAAACAGGTGTTGATGAATCTGGATCAAAAAGATCACCTGAAGCAAAAACTGATAAAAATGATAATGATGAAAATAATGATTCTGATAACAATGCAAATGAAAAGGATAGAGAGGATTCACCAATAGCACCAGCTCTATTACATTTGAGGGGACGAAAAAAATCAAAAAAGCTTACAAATCTAGATATCAGTTCTGATGATGGATCAGATGAAGATTTCAAAGGGCCTTCGTATGTTCAATAATTCAATATTRTTATTTAATTTAAGTAAGTATACAAGTAAAATTTGTTTGTTAATTTCAGAGATGAGGACGATGATTATGAGGAAGATTTGAGTGAGTATAGTGATGATTCTGTCAAAAGACGGCCACAACCAACACGACGGTCTGTGCGGAACCGAAAAAAYGTGGTTGATCCTGACTTTAGTAAGAAATTTAATAAGTCAACATTTTAAATTACTGGCAAATGATCAATGTACAACTTTTAATCATGTTAACTCTGTAAATTTAGTTAATGACGATTCAAGTGAAGACAGTGATCAACGTTCCAAAAAAAAGAGACCTTGGTCAGATTCTTCGAATAGCGAAGAAGAAGACTTAACTTGGGGTAAAAAGAAAAAAAAACGTACAAACGCATACTCGTCTTCGTCATTATTGTCCAAACCAGCCAAAGGATCTAAAAGGAAACGTAGTGAAAACAACGGTGATCGGAAATTTAAAAAATCTAAGGTTGTATTAAATTAAAATTTTCTGTGGAGGTTTTTTAAAACTTTTTTGTACTTAGATAAAGTTTGGTATGAATTCGGATTCAGATTCAGATGGCCAACCTAAGAGAAGGACTAGAGGACGACAAATAACTTATGCCGAATCCGACGATTCAGAAGAAGTACCTAAAATAATACCATATATTGATATATAATTTTTAGTTTATTTCACTAAACTACAGTGGACATACTAATGTGAAATAATTTTTATTTAGGAAGTCCAAACAAAAAAGCGTAAGGTAGAAAGTGATGAAGAAGACGAATATGTCTTGAACGATGAAGAATTGGAAGTCGAGAATGAAGACCAAACTTTAGAAGTGGATGAAGATGATGCCATGGCCAGTAATGATGAAAAAGATGAAGAAGACGATGTTTATGAAGAAGAAGCAGTTGAAGAGGAAGAGGAAGACAATGACGAAGATGAAGAAGTCAACCCGAAGCTGGCCATAACCTCATCAGCAYCAGCTGTAAGTGATGTCGCACATCCAACTGTGAAACTGCCGCCGCCATCTGCCATAGCCAAATCGGTCATCAGGGAACCGGTGCCCTTATTGTCATCCGATCCAGTGGCTGTTGAACCACATCAAAGTGCACACCCACGACTTATCCCACCAGTTGTCGTCCAGCAAACGGAAAAACATACATTGTCACCAGTCGTCGACTCCGAACATGGGTTGTTGGATAAGCGTAAGCGTCCCCTACACCAGCCAAAACAGTGTCCATCACCCAATCCTGTGGTGGACTATGGTGGAGGTTCTGCTTACCCGTATGTGCCTGATGCCACCAAAGTGGCGGTGTCTACCGTTCTGCCATCGCCTGCACACGTGGCATACATCAGATCACCCGCAGCTGTGTCTGTTGCTGCAGGAGTGTTCAAGACCACCATGGTGCCACGAACTTCTGGTGATGTAGGTTTTCCTGTCCCGCCAGCCCCATACCGGACGGGAGCCAATAAAATGACCGGACCAGCCTCCTATCTGTCTCCACCACCTCAAGTGCAACAAGTGTACCAGGCGCCAACACCACAGTCACAGCCATCATCAACCAGTTATTCCCCATATCCAATTGATTATGCTGTCACCGGAGCACCRCTACCACCTCCACCGCCGACCATCGCTTTCCGAAACGTGGTCATAGCACCACCATCTCACGAGCACGCAGTGTTACCCAGTTCTACACAGCAGCATCAGCAGCAATCCACCACAGGGGGTGGAGAAAGTGAATTCGGCGGGCTCGTTTCGTATTTTTCCAGTCAACAGGAAGACGATTTTGACGCATGATGATCTCGTCCATCTCCAACATATTATTATTATTGCAATTTATTATTTTTACCCTTTTTTTCATTTGTTTCCTCTAYCCTGCCGACAGCTTAATGTATTCTACTATTCTGAAAAATTGGCTACTTTACTTGTATGTTGTTATTATTATAAATTTAGAATTATTTTATTATTTTTTTATTTTTTTTTACCATGACAGATAATTTTATTTTTTATTAAAACAAAAGTACTCTAAGACAATTAATGTGGTTGTGTGAACAGTTTGTCAGTTTTAAGTTGTAGATTAAGCCAACCACACACATCATATTACTACCTATTAATTATAATATTATCATCACAATCAAAAACTGTCAACTAGACTGCCTCTTTCTATTCTTTTTATTACTTAAAAACCGCACATCCGTAGTATTGTGTCCTGATAACTTACTACAAAGCAAATTGTACGTTAACAATAATCCATTTTACTCTGTTATTTTTATTTTTTTAAATGAAAGTGAGTTGACCAATGATAAAATTTAAAATTAAGGGCATTTTGGAGGATTTTATTGATACTATTTATAAACAAGTTATGACCGTTTTAAGATGTACAGTTTCTAAAAGATCATAACTTCTTTACTCATAAAAACCTCAGGTATGCTCTGGATAATAATCTTACCTTTTAAACAGGTAAATTATTACAGAGTAAAATRTATTAGYGTGAATGTAAAATTGTCCAAGTACATTTGTAAGGCATAGACAACTAGACAACACATACGGGTGTGGCTTCCTCATAACTTAATTTTGTCTAGTATTTTTTAATTTGAATTGGAAACAAATTAATTTATTTCTTGTTTAGCGAGGCCATAATGTTAAAAACGGAGATCTGAAAGTATATTATAGCAAACGATTTATTTTCTAACAATTTTGTTTGAGTTATGTATTTGATAATATAATAATATTTTATGTACTTTGCCTTCATTCTCATATTTTAAAAATATTATTATTTCTCCCTAATCTTTAGTTAATGTTAATTTTATTTGCAGTTGCCCCAACAATAAAAATCATTTTTTAGAAAAATCATAGAAAATGTGTGAGTGTAATATTTAATGTACATATTATATACATTTTCTAAATATACTTGAAATAATTATTGAGTTTTTTAAATTTTAAGTTGTAGTGAAGATCGATTTTTTTAAGTTTGTCAATACGCTGAATGTTATTTGTACGTAAATTGTACAATTTTTCTTTCATAATTTTAATATATTATAGATTTTATTTAATTGATAACCGATATAAGACACACTAACACAAAATGTTTAATTTTATATTTATTTTAAATGAACAAAAAAATAATATATAAGTTCTAGTGTTGTATAAAATAATATAATTAATTATTAAGATTTGARAGTTATACTTAGACTAAATATTTTACTTGTAAGTAGGAGGTATATAGATATGTATATTATATATAATTTATTTCAAACTTTTGTTGCTCTGTATTTATATATTGTCTCGTGAAGTTTCTGATTTTATTATTTTCACATGAAAAGTTGTAAGTATATCATAGAAAAACATCAGGCAAAACGCTTGAAGTATGTGTCTTCATTCACTTTGTCTTATAACTATCAGGTATCATACATTCATAATTTCAAACATAATTTATTATAAATTGTACTAGTAATTTTTTTTTGATAGTTTTTCTTGAAGAACAATAACTTCAAAACACAATTTACAGTTTGGTACAAAATTACAATAACATGGATACTAGTTTTACCCTGTAGGCTTAAGAGCACCGATTTAAGAACTAAATTAATTTATGCATAAACTATTTGTGCTAAGGTTTTGGGGGAGGGATTTTAGGATTTAGTCCCCCTCCAGTAATTGCTGTGACCCAGCCATAAATGCTAAATAAATTGAAATCCATTCAAGATTTATTATATTAGTTATATGCATGTACAGTATTCGGCSTATACATGAATTGTAATTATTGTTCTTTCTAAAAAAAAAAAAAAGCATATTCGTAGGAAAAACAATGGAAAGTCGATCTAGTGTATAGTTTATTAATTTTAATAGAAATACCTCATTATTACTTATTCACAGTACTCGGTGAATCTGTTTGATGATCAATCGTTGCATATAGGTGCCAATAAACTATTCTTTGTTGGGACAGCATGACGGGTAGGGTAWGAGTGCTGTTACTCAATGGGTCAAAGGCCAGCTTTTCTGGGTGGTTAGAAGACCGCGCCCACCTTTGTATAACTTACTGCGTTGGTGAATAAACAATACGGGAACGGGTGGCAGTATTGTGATGAACAGTTCCCACCCGTTCCTGGTTTTTGAACTGAAAAAAAAAAGCCTCATACAAGATAAACACGGTAATAAATAAGACGACTAACTAATTCAAACGAGATTAATGAACTAAGAATAATAGTAAACATCATGAAGTGCAATGTCAAATAATGCATTTCGATTTTTACACATGTGTAAAAATGTATTTTTGGTAGGTACTTAACTAATTATTTGTGGGTAAAATAGCCTTTAATGATTGAATTCATACATAAATAGAGGATAATATTTTTGAGGGATTTCTACATTATTATTTATACCGTATTCGGCTTTTAAAATTAAATGAATTGTTTTTTAATTGATTTTTCAAAATGGCATTACTGAGGAAGTTATGTTTAGTTTACACTTTAGACTAATGTAAGAATTGTCTAACAAACTATGAAGATTTAGGTGTATAATTATTGATCAACTGCAGCGGCTAGGGTATAGGACTGGTAGAAGGCAATGGTAGCAAAGCTCTTCAAGTAATAAATCCTCCGAGTATCTATAATTAAGTGGTTGTTCAGCAAGTCTCGGTAAAAGTATTTCAATTTTCATTTGTGTGGATGCCATTCCCACAGCATATTATGGACTCTTATAGTTAGTTGGATATCATCATGTAGTTCATCATTATGATATAATATGCATATTATGTTTGAATGTTTATACATAATATTATTTGATAAAAATGATAAGTGTATATAATCATCTATTAAAATAATACTATATTATTATAAACACAAATCAACAGTTCAAATATAATTTTATGAAATGGATTGTTATCACAGTGATGTATAAAAATGAAAATGAAAATTTCACACAAAGCGATTTTGACTACTTCGAAATTCCATACGTAATTCGAATTTGTTTGGTAATTTCTCAGAATTCTTCCAACTGCCTACTCATACAATACACATCACACAGATGTGATACATAGTATTTAAAATAATCAGTTCTAAATAGGGAAAATGGGTCACCAAATATCTTTGGGTTTGGCCTACTAGGATAAACATAAAACCCATAATTCAATAGATTAATACAGAAATACAACTATTAGAAACAGAAAAAAAATTTTATTTATAAACTATGTACAACTGCTGTTCTTTAATTAACTTATACATAATTAAAATAACTTAATTATAGCTATAAACATGAATRTATGATTTAGAAAATTACACATAGAGATTTTGTTTTATTTTTTAAATTAAATACAAAATTGAATATTTATAATTGCGTATAAACACGCGCACAAACATTTTATGTTTTAGTATATTTAACTATTTTATGCATATTTTTGTTTTGTAGATAATTAAACACACCAAAATAAATTATAGAACACCTATCTAAAAAACATCTCAATACACCAAAAAAAGAATGTTTAATATAATAAATATATATGTTTTATTGAATATGTATACATTAGAAACAAAATGAGCTAAGAATTGTAATATTACAAGCGAATATGTCGCGTTTTAAATTCATTTAAATTGCTTAAAAAGATATAATAAAATAATAATGATAGTAATAATAAAATAATTGGATAATAAAATTGCACATATTATACATATTAGCACAAGAAAAAAAATACCAAACAAAACAGCTGTTAAAAAAAAGTAAATATCATATTTTTATACATAATAATATTTAACATTAATAAAAACTTAATGTGAACATTAACAAAGAGGTATACCAAAATCATTTAGAATAACAAAATGAAATTTTTTAAATAATACTAAACACGTCCGATGGTTCGGATTATGTGTCCAATTTTAAAAACTAACCAACCAAAACATAAATTGTCAACCTTTTTATTAACTTGTTCAAAATTCGTCATAAGAAATAAAATAAAAAAAATTTGGGTAACTTATTTAAGTACAAAAAGAAATGTCGTTTAAACATATAGTTGAAAAATATGTCAAATGGCAATTCTTAAATTTATTAGTAAAAAAAAAAAATAATAATAATAAGAAAAACAACAACATAACACGGTAACTCGTTCTGTGTGCGCACGTCCGCCTATTGGTGATGATGAMGACGACGTCAACTCACCGTGTACACGCTCACGCCCAACAGCTGTTTAAGTTTGCGGTCGTAACGGACCAAGAGTATTTGCTCGTCGCCGGATGTCGATGACGAGAATGGTGAGGCGGCGGAGGTAGTAATTRCGGAAGTGGCAGCAACAGTAGTAGTAGCGGCGCCGGTGGAGATTGTGGTCGCTGAGGGTGTGGACGACGACGACGTGCAAGAAGGGGCTTCCTTCGTGGCTACAGAGTCGCTGTCGTCATTGGACGGACGTTCACTGGATTTGTTAGCTGCGGCCGGGGTGGCCGGCACTACGATTGGTTGTCGGCCCAACGATTTCCGGAGCACCGCGCGCTCTTTGAATCGTTCCGCCGGCACGGCCATAACGGCGTTCTCGTCCTCCATCAGTTGGACGAGCGCTTCGACAGTCTTCACGGACAGAGCCGTCGACACGTCCGAGAACAGCACCCAATCGTCGTCGTCGACGCCGGCGGTCTTGCGGCCGCCGTCAGCACCTCCTTCGGACGGAAACTTGTAGACGTCCGGAAGCGATTGGTCGGAAAATTCGAACTCGAACGATGGGCCTTCGTCAGTCGGTCCCGGCGATGGGGCAGGCGGCAGACACCACAGCAGCCGGTCAACGTCCTCGGGTTCACCTACAAAACGAAAGCAAAGGTACTCGATTAGTCATAACCACGGTTAGGTAAGGTTACATTAGAGTCGCGAATAAAGGTGGTCGAGGTTCTATATAGAAATATACGATTCAAGAGAGGACCGGGAAAATTGCAGTGTTGTCTCACGCAAACGTGTTTAGACATGAGACGATTTGAGTCCAGCAGAACCAATTTTGTGTTGGTTTTTATATTACAGTGCATTTACTATCATACCATCAAACCTAAAGGTAAGAATATATTATTATCTAGGGCACCTATATAAACTTAGCTTTTATTTTTTTCACTATTTTAGTTTCGCTATTTTTCTTTTGGCTTTTATTTTTTCGATATTATGGCCTATAGGCTATAATCATTCGTAGACGCATTAATTGTTGATATTTTAATTTTATAGTGAGTTACGGCATATTGATACTTTAAAGCCTATGCGTTGTATTAGCTTAATATCCTGGTTTACCTATAATTCTGATTAGATGTGCATTTTTAACATATTATATACTCTTATATTAAAATCATTGCAAAATTAGTTTTGCCAAACGCAAATTTGCTCCRTTGTCAGATTGAAACAAAACATGCGGGATCGGCGTTCTCTCGAAAATAAAAAGTAACAATTTAAATAAATCTACAGGAAAATACTCATCAACAGAGTTYGTAAGTTTTTCTTTCATCATCCCAACAAGGTTTTACCAATAATCAAAAACACCGATACATACATGATGGTAACATAGATATTCTTATAACGCGAGACACTATATAATTATTTTATAATAAATGTCAATCAACTTTTTTTAGTTTTGAAGAAAACCCGATTGCCTATATAATCCCAAGTACCTGTAGACTGTAGAGCACTACATTAAAAAAAAATCAAATTAAATTGCATTTTTTCCTTATCACATCAGTTGTTTAGGTTTTATTTTTAATAGGTTACAATTAATTTATTTTATTAGTACAGCGGAAGCAGTATATTATTTCCCTGAAAATGTTGTTAACTGTATAAATAAATAAAAACACGTAATCTTGAAACCATCGCTTTGAATGAGATGAGCCGAGTAGTGGAGTAGATAGGAGATGCCATCTTTGCATTCCACATTTATTTTATAAAAACTTTAAATGTTTATAAATACATCTATCATATGTAATATAAATAATTATATCATGCAAGATGACTTACTATTCAATATGTAGAAATCAAAATTTCTTGAAAATTATGCTGCAGAATATGAAATTTAATATACAGTTTATACATTTAAAATTTTAAGATCTACAAAGTTTTTTAAAATTTAAAAATGTAAATATTTGAAATTACTGTTCAAACATATAACTTTATTTATTTTATTTTATCATTGTCTGGTTTGCTACGATTCTCGGAGAATAGCTTTTCATTAACGGAAAACACTCAGTATCCTACTTAGACTTAAGAGGAATTGAATGTTTAATATTTAAAACTGAAAAGTATCTACGGCGAGCAAAGTGTTAGATGGAGGTACAAACTCTACATAAACATAGAAAATAAGACAGTTGTTAAACAATACWCGACATTCACCACATTTCCTATCTTATAGAAACGTATTATGAAAAAGAAAACGTCCCATACAAATACATAAATTTTGTGATAAGCGTCTTTCGTACGTAGTATCGTATCAGTAAAATATCTCGTACTTCTATCATAAATAAAGTTAGAAAGTATTTTTTAATATAATGGCACTTTACAACACATTTTCGTGAACTGGTTGTTACTGGGTTCTATACGCGTGCCATAAACTAAATAGATTGGTGTGATACACTATTAGATTTTAAAGATATACCTTTATAATCGATCGGGAAATTATTATCTKATACCAATAGCATTAATTTCGTTTTCGTTGAGTCTATATGTCATTACACCATACGGTCTGCATTATATTTAAAATCCAATGTACAAACTTGTTAAGTATAAAACATCACATACATAATATAATATAATGATATGATGATGATGGATTGATGAATGAAATGGCTAGTTAAAATTTAAACGCAAAACTTATTAGGATTATACCTACATTATGAATAGTATTGGTCAGCTGTTTTTCCCGTTTATATTTATACGGAATATGGGTCATATAGCAATGCAGTATGTATGTATATAGATTGTCCAACCATGGTTAGGTCAGGTTATTTACTATATAATACTTACGGGTCAGCGTGGTGTCATCGAAATTCCAAACGGACGCGYTGCCGTAGCCTTGAACGTCGTTGACATGATGTTCCAGTAGCATTCTGGTCTGCTTGTCTGTGGCCAAAGACAATGGTGACTGTCCCGAGTAGGTGGCCAAATGCGGGTCTGCTCCATAACTGAGTAACAGACGCACCAGGTGCACGTCGCCGTTTTCAACAGCTTCGTGTAGGGGCCTGAAAAACCAACAACAATAATATAGAAACAAAACGAAACATTTTGAGTCTTAGGCCTAACTCGAAACAGAAGGAGCGAGGAGAGAGGAATCTTTTCACACGCAGCATTTCAACAATGCAATATGTATATATCATAAAATATTAGGCGTAATACAATTAATGAAATAAACTAAAATAACGTACAAATGAATGAAAATGATGGGGTCCGTGTTTGGATTTTTAACAAAAGTTTAAAATAAAATATATCAAGTTATTAGGCATAGTGTGTAAATTGTATATAATATAGTATACACAATAAGTACTAAATATTTATTCATAAATTTATTGGCGTTGTAGATAAATTATTATAATAATCGACATATCCTTGTGTTTATTAAGTTTATTTACTATAAAACATTTGTTTTGTGAAATATTTGATTAGATAGGGAATGAGAGTTGATTGGCGTTGATCATACTGAGGGACCGTATGCCGCAAAAGGATTATTATTTGTTTTGCGTGTCGCACATAACTAATAGCAGACAGACAGCWAMTAGCTAGACGCCTTGTATACCTATAGTAAGTTATGCTAATCACAAAACTATGTGATGTATTATAGCGTTGCCGCGTTGGTAACAAAATATACATTATTAATGATTTTATAATATGTGTCTATAAATTAATATATTATAGGTACTGACCGTATGCCTCCTTGAGCGCTGGCGCTGACATCTGCCCCGAACAGAAGCAACAACTTGGCTATGTGATAATGGCCCTGCGAACACGCTTCGTGCAACGGCGTGTAGCCCGCGTTGTCAGCCACCGATGGGGCGTACTCGAGTTTTTCCATGCAATAACCCACGACATCCTTTGAACAGAACACACGCAAAGAAATATAAGACCAGTCGTCATATTATACAGCACACCGTCAATCAAATCAGACCAAATTGGTCGATTAGTGTAGAATAATATAATAATGACCATTTTAAGTATACAACCATACGTCATATAAAATAGTCCCCATGCAGTGCATCTAGAAAGTTTGTAAACGCTTGTTACACATTATATATATATATATCTTGCACAGTTCATACGACGTAAATATAACGAGTTTCTAAACTTTCTAGACACACGCCCAAACGGCCAAACTTTACAGGCACACGATTATTTCAAAGTTTTTTT